ATTTCAGATTGCATGTGAAAACCCCACACTGTACCCCAGAAGTGCATTAATGTACATAGTTACCGTTCAATAAAAAAAAGAAAAAAAAAAAGATTCCACTGAATAAATTCACATTTAAAATTAAATTCAAACTTACATAACCTGATTTGTTTAAAGAGTTAAACCTTTTTATGAAAGTAGGTTCACAAGAATTATCAGCTGTAGATCTACTAAAACTCGTTTCATATTAATGTATTTGTTATAGCTTACAAAACAAAGCAGCAAGAGTTGCATCAGCAGATTCTTCTCAAAAAAAAAATGAGGTTGCTTAAGGTATAAAATTTGATGACTTAATAAAAGAACTGGTAGAAAAACAGACCACAAAAATGTATGATTTATCCAGATAACCCATTAATAAACTATTATTTATTGTATTAAAACTATGACACTACATTTTGGCGAGGCTATTTGTATTTTTTGTTATTCCTGTGTAATTATTATTCCTATTACATTTTATAAATAAGAAAATATTTTTAAGGACAAAGCTGTATCTTACTGCCTTTATTATTTTCTTCTCCTGCTTTGAACAAGGTGCCTGTGTTTTTATTTTTGCATTGAACCTTGGGAATTCTATAGTCAGCCCTACCCTTGCCATTTTTATACAAGTTATCATTTAATCCTCAAAACCAAATCTACCATGTAGGCATTACCCAATCACACAGATGATGATTCTGGGGTCCAGAAGGTTCAAAGGTATGGTATGTCCAAGATCGCCTGGCTCCTAAGTGGTACAGAGGTCATTTGAAACAAAATCCTCCTGTCTGCAAAGCCCATGTTCCTAAGCCCTCGACGCTGATAATTTTTCTGATAGTTTAGCCACTTGGTTCTCCTACAGCCCTCAAACTGGAGTCCGCCACCTGTCAGACTCCTGTGGCATTACTGGCTTTCTCTCCAGTCGCTTGAGCTCATTGGTGGATTCAGAGTGGTCTGACCTCACACCAGGTAAGCAAGTAATTACTGCCACCTTGTGGCGGCTGTTTGTTGACACCACAGATGGTTTCTCATTTTCCCGCCTGCCTGAAGAGTGTGTGTGTATACTATGTATATCAGAGCATCTTGTCATTGAACCCAGTGAGAGTTCTAACAATTTTTTTAATCTTCTCGAAGAATCAACTTTTATTTTTTATTTTTAATCTTTTCTGTTAAAGAAAAGTGTCCAAATAATTGTATTACAATATGCTTGGTGAGTATAGTTTTCTTTCTTTCTTTGTGTGGTTTTAGTCTCACCAAATTTGGGAAACAACAGGCAATTATTTCCTCATCTGATCTTTCTTGCGCCAAACACACCTATGTGATAGATTTCTTGATTTGTGTACGTGAGTCACTTGCTAAATTTTTCCAGCCTTTTTTTTTTCTGTTTGCTTCATTTCTTCATTTGTTTGTACTAATATAGACTCAGACATACTGATCTTGTCTTCTGTAACGTCCTATGCCATTAACCTAATTCAGAATACTTTTTATTAGATACTTATCTTTCATCTTTGGAAGTTCTAATTTGGTTCATTATATTTCTCATTTCTCTCCTCATCACAAAGTTTTTCTCTTCAATCTTGGACATATTTGTAATAGCTCTTTTACTCCACTTTTTGCTAATTCTAGTATTTGTCATCACTGGATCTCTTTTCCTTAATGACTCTCAGCTGGTCATGGGTCAGACTTTCCTGCTTCTTTGCATGTCTAGGAATTTTTGATTGGATTCAGCACATTACAAAGCTTAAGTTGTTGAGTGAAGGATTTGGTTGTTTCCATTTCTTTTAAAGAATGTTAGACTTTATTCTGGTTCCCATTTAAATTACACATCAGTTTAGTTCTTTCAGGAATGTTTTTTAAGAATCTGCTAGAGTACTTGTGGGACAGTGTAACCCAGAGTGAAGCAGCAGCACTACTAACGTGACACCTCTCTGGGGACACTGAGGTCTCTCCACTCTGCTGGTGGGAAAGCAAATCTTTTTGGCCTGTGTCTGCTCCTGAAATTGTTATGCAATCCCTTTTGGGTATTTTTGCTTTCCTTTGGCCTTGTGAGGTTTTACCCTAAGCATACTCAGCTTAGAACACAACCTGAGATTGAAGGGTCCCTTTCCATCCCAGCCCAAATACTCAGAAGCATCTCCTCAGATGCCCCCTCTCTGGTCCTTTGCCTGGAATTGGGGGTGTCTTATGCTATGTGAACTTCAATCTCAGTCTCTTTAGTGCCACAGGATTTGGGGTCTGTCAGTCTTCCTCCCTGTATTGTGGCTTGGAACCTGACCCTGTGGTAACCTGGGAGCACTCAGCTGCCTCTTTCTGCTTGTTGTCCAATATCTGATACCTGTCGACTGGGTCCATCATTCTGTACTGTCAGAGGGCAATTCCCACAGAACCTAGTTCATTTTGGATGGAAAGCGAGGACCAGGTTTGTCCCTCTTGCTGAGAACCCAGTAGTCTTGTCTTTCCCCTACAGTGCCTTGATGAGTGGCTGGTGTCAGGGGTGAGGGGCTACCCACTACATTTCCTGTGATCTTTAAGTATCAATGAAAGATACTAAATAAACTGTAGTGCCTCTGAATCATTCGAATGTACTTCAATTCAATAAATGGTTGTTAAGCAGTTTTCAGCTCAGGGCACTTAACTAAGCAGCTCAACAAGGATTAAGACAAGGTCCCTGTTCTTAAAGATGGTGTTGTCCAACATGGAGGTTGGCAGTGAGCAATGCACACAATGCACACAATGTACACAGGGCACACAATATACACAATGTACACAGTGCACATGGTGCACACAATGTACAGAGTACACACAGTGTACACAAAGTACACAATGCACACAATATACACAATGTACAGAGTACACACAATGTACCCAATGGAAAAAGTCCACACAATAGCACAAGGTATAGAGTGTACACAGCACACATAATGTACACAATGCACACAGCACACACTATGGACACGATGTACACAGTGCACACAATACACACAATGTACCTAGTGCACACAATATACACAGTGCACACAATAAATACAATCTACACAGTGCACACAATACACACAACATACACAGAGCACACAGTGTACACAATGAACACAATGCACACAATATACACAATGTACATAGTACACACAATGTACACAATGTACAAAGTGCACACAATGTACACACAGTGTACACCATGGACACAAAGCACATAATGGGCACAGTGTACACAGTGCACACAGTGCACACAATATATGCAATGTACACAGTGCATGCAGTATACACAATGCACATAGTGTACACAATGTATACAGTGCACACAGTTCACACAATGTACACAGTGTACACAATGCACACAGTGCACACAACGTACACAGTGCACATAATGTATACAATGTACACAGTGAACACAATGTACATAGTGCACACAGTGTATACAATATACACAATGCACACAATGTACAAATACACACAGTGTGCACAATGTATACAGTGCACACAATGTACACAGTGCACACCTTGCACACAATGCCCACAGTGTACACAATGCACACAGTGCACACAATGTACACCATGTATACAGTGCACACAGTGTATGCAATGTACACAATGTATATAGTGCACATAGTGCACATAATGTACACAATTTTCACAATGTGCACAGTGCACATAATATACATAATGTATCAATATACACAATGAAAACAATGTACACAGTGTACACAGTGTATACAATGTGCACAATGTACAGAGTGCTTACAATGCACACAGTGCCCACAATGTACACAAATGTACACAATGCACACAATGTACATAATGCACACAGTGTATACAATGCACACAGTGCACACAATGTGCACAGTGCACACAATGTACATAATGTATACAGTACACACCTTGCACACAATGCCCACAGTGCACACATTGCAGACAATACACACAATGTACACAATGCACACAGTGCAAAAGAACAGGCAGGGTTCACAGAAAGAGGGCTCAAGTCAGGTCCTCAAATCAACATCTGAGAATTGAGCACTATTTTCCAGGTGTCAGAGTGTGAGATAGCCCTGAGAGATGGGTAAGGGCTTAGAGAAGACACTGAGGGAATGGCCATATGCCAGGTATGAGGTCAGCCGGTGCAGAGGCATGGAGGGGAGCAGAGCAGAGGGAGCATTGGGAAAGAGCTGGGGCCTCCATTTCTCTGAGTAAGGAAGTTTTTGGAAGGCTTTGGGGGGGCCTCTGAGGGATGCAGTACAGCTTTCAAGGTAGATTTGCTGGAGAGATGCAATTCTGTGCAGAGGGACCAAAGGCAAGTGACAAGAAGGAAAAGTGAGTTTTCAGGAAAATAAGATGTTCAATTTCATGAGGGCATAGCATCCACAGAGGAGAGTTAGAATGGATAACATTTGGGAAATAAGTTTAGGCTTCCTTGTAGATTCCCTGAGACATTCTACCTTATTTGAATAAAAGGCAAGTCATTAAGGATTTCTTAGTTGTGTATTTGGTAACAACTACTGTAATAGCCAGATTTAAAAAAAATCAAGTTTCCATTTTATTTAAAAAACATTTACTTTGATTTTACTTTTATAAGCTTTAAATGGGCATTTCCACACTTCATGACATCTTCCTCACATTTCTGGAATTATTTATTTCTTTCTTCGGCAGCATTTTCGGCCCCTGGAAGAACAGCGGCCAATCTGCTCCTCCCGTGGAAGGCAGCTGAGCACAGCACACCGGCCTCCTCGTATTCTGCAGTAATACCTTTGGACTGTGTTTATGATTCCGCCAAACCCTAGGATGAAAAGCAGAGTACACAGGGGAAGGTTTCAGGAAGGTTTTGGTACAAGTCAAGGGTTTTGGAATTCCTCAAATAACTCATCTGTTGCCTTTATTTATTTATTTATTTTTTGGTTCTTTTTTTCTTTTGTATAAAATCAAGGGGAAAGTAAAGGAAGAACTAAACCACCAACAGGAAATGTTTCTGTGGGCCACGCTCAGCTGTGGCCCCACAGTGGTGTTGGGGAAGTGGCATCATCCTCACCGCAGGAATAGGGAAGGGCTAGGGTCTTCCGGGGTCTTGAGCCTCCCAAGCAGCAAGCTGACCTTGCTGGGCTGCTTAGCTCAGTTATGTTACTCCACCACTATGCTTAGTACAGGGGAGTCTGCACTTCTGTTCCTAGACTAAATCAATCTTCCATGTTGATATTAATTTTTTTATCATTTTCTTCATGTCTCATTAACAAGTGTAATAGTATCGTCACAGAGAAGAAAGGAAGGGGCAGTTGTGATGAGCTATTCAGTCTCTTAAGAGAGGGAGGGTTAATGGTGGGACCACACCTATGGAGCATATTGCAAGGGTACAAGTCAAATCTATCAAGTGTAGAAGAACACAAATGTCTTAACACTGTGATTAAGTAAATGAGATGAAAGCTATGTTAATTAGTAGGATGTAAGCACTCCAATTTGTACAAGTAATCAACACATTGAATCCCACAAAGGCATAAATGTATTCATCATCTATGTATATATGACTTAATAAAAGAAAAAAAAGAGTGAATCAGAAAAGACCAGGAAATCTGCTGTAAGGCTATCTTTATGATTTTTGTCAGAAAAAATAAATGGGGATGCCTAGTTTCCATACAAGGAATCTACTTGGTCTGAGCTTGGTCTGGAGTGTGCAGGGCACTGCTCCAGCTTGTTGGTCCTCTGTGCTCTCAGCCCTCTTAATCCCCAGCCCACCTTACCTGGAACAGGCATCAAAACCAAGAAGAACAATGCACACAGGAGGTAAAGGGTCCTCATAGTTGACAGGGCTTTACCACAAGCTGAGACTGGATGGAAAGATGTGCTTGTTCACTTTATAAAGTCCCAGCCACATGTAGAAGGAAGCAATGGCTCCAATGCTTGTAATAGTACAGTGATGACAATGTAACATATTTCCTGATGTGTCATACCAATGTCTCTCACCACACAGAACACACCTACTCATGTAGGAGTTAATTACAAACCTAGGGGGTGAAGCAAAGGCTATGGGAGTGTGGTCATCCTGGTGTCCGCTGGGCTCCAGGGTCTTGTTCTGTCTGGTCCGATCTGGTTGTGGGTTTAGGTGGGGCTAGGATTGGCAAGGCTTTGCTTCCTCTTGGGAATGGTCTTGAAGCATGTGGCTTGCAGCTGGGTTGTCTGCACTGTGGTACTTTGACACTTTCTGCCTCTTTCTGAAACACTGGGAGAGCCTGAGAGCTTCCTGGGGACCACATCCTTTCAACACTGGACATACGCAGTGTCTGGAAATAGAACTGGCTTTTGGCTAGTGAAGGGAGGGCAAGTAAGCTGTACTCATGAGCCCTTGACCCCAGTCCCTTGGCCTTTGATGGGATGATAGAGTTTGGGCATCTTGTGTTTCATTGTTTGAAATTTATCAAATTTATGAATCAAGAAGGTGGTTAATTTTACCTCATTAGAAAAAGGGAATGCTGAACTCATGTACTCAGGGGACTGACATCTCCCAGCTGCTAGCATGGCTTCAGATATACTTATACCTTTGGACCATGAGCATTCAAGGCAGTCTAGAGATAAGGTGATTTCCACTGGCTATAGATTTGTTGTTTAGAGGGCAAAATGTTAAACATTATTAAATTTAAATGCTAAGATCAACTATAACCCAATTAGTGGGTTATAGTTGTCACCAGACTATTTAATTGGGAGCTGAAGTCACCATGATGTTGCCTGGCTGTTGCCCTGTGTGAATACAATCATAACAGATCCACTAAGGATCCCAAGGACACCTAGGAATGTGTGTTCAGGACACAGACTTTCTCAACAAACTCTGAACATCTGCTACAGGTAAGGATAAGCATGGCATGCTCAATGCAGGTGGGAGTGAAGGACCAATCCTGGTTCTTCCTCTTGAGAAGCTCCATGTAGGTTCAGGCAGACGAGTGAACAGTCGGATAATAAATGCAGCATGATCTGGTGAGTGTCATAGTAGCAGTTTAAGAACAGGGCTGTGGAAGTGTGGAAGAAAGGTAATTCACACTAAGAGGGAGTTTTAATAAGCAGATTTAAGAAAACTTAGGAGTTGTAGATGCTTCTTTTCAAAATCTAACTTTCTCTTAAATTGAGGATTCGAGACAGATTGGAGACATTTGTAAATGGGGGAAGGAGGTGGGTGTGGGTGGGATAGCTGCTGACTTTGGAGTCTCGCTGTGTCTCATGCAGGCTAAGGAGACAAGGGTGGAGTGGGGTGTTTCAGAGGATTATGAGCAGTTCTCAGCCAGGGTGCAGGACTGGAGTCATCAGACCATCAGATCACAAGAAATGACTTATCCTTCTACAGGCTGGCCAGCCTTCCACAGTGAGTCCATGGTCTAACCTGTTCCTTTAAGGATTGGGAGGCATTTCTAAGGCAATACCCCTATTTCATAAGAGACTCCTTGGGAATAAAAGCCACTTTTCCTTTCCAGCAAATTTGGAAGCTGGGAATTAGGGATTGGACTCTGTAGCCAACCTTTTCAAGTTTGGGTACCCTCTTCACTCACAAAACCAATTCTGAGGGGGATATTTCTGTGTTTCAAGAAAATTATAGGTCAGGTGCAGTGGCTCACACCTGTAATCCTGCCAAATCCTCCTGGGAGGCCGAGGCGGGTGGATTGCCTCTGGTTCAAGACAAGCCTGAGCCAGAGTGAGATCTCATCTCTAAAAATAGCTGGGTGTTGTGGCTGGCACCTGTAGTCCCAGCTACTTGGGAGGCTGAGGCGAGAGGATCATTTGAACTCAAAAGTTTGTAGTTGCTGTGAGCTAAGGCACCAGAGCACTTCACTAATGGTGACCAAGTGAGACTCTGTCTCAAAAAAAGAAAAGAAAATAAAATTATAAAAGCAATGTATGTTCATGGCAAAGTTTCAAAGTGTAGAAATAGTGTTCTTCATTTCTTTACCTCAGGGAATCACTTATAACTGTGGATTGGCCCAGTTTTTGGCTTATTATAAACCCATTTTCATGTTAAGAATAATTTTAGCCTCTGAGGTGACCACAGTTTCATGTGTGCTGTCTAATATTTAAATGAAGCAGTGCATGCATGTGAAGTCTCCCAGCACTGATGAGAGCCCCAGCCTGCCTCCCTCCTCAAGGGGTTTGAGTCATAGGCTGGGAAATGCAGACTCTGCAAACTATTGCTCCAGGTCTGCTTGGTTTTCTTGTTGTCTTTCTGGTCAGCAGGAAATGTGGATTTGGTTGAGAGGAGACTTTAGTCATTTGTCTTTTTTTTTTTTATGTCAGACATTTTTCTAATCATTTTTAAAGCACCAGACAGATTTGATGGATCCAAGTTTTTGGCAGAACTATGTGAAAGATGAAAATGGCAAGTTCAGAGTGAGGCGTCATCAGCCCAATGCTCAGCCCTGTCATGCATTACGTTAGTTTTCCTGAATAAATTATCTAAGCTCTTTGGGCATCTGAACCTCAGCAATAAAGCACAGAGAACAACGTACTTCCTGTTGAGTCCACAGTGAAAGCCCTGTGAGTCACAGACATGGAATTGACTTGTAAACTGTGACTTATCATACATATCACTTCTGTGTCACCCATGGGGCCCTCAGGGAGATGCACTTGATATCAAGGCGGCTTAAAGACCATGGCATAGGCGCTCTCTCTCTTTTTTTAGACAGAGTCTCATTTTGTCACCCTTGGTAGAGTGCCAGGGCATCTTAGCTCACAGCAACCTCAAACTCATGGGCTTAAGCAATCCTCTTGC